CGGACAGCAGCAATGGATGAGGTGCAGTTGTGGAGGCCCGTCGGTGAGGGCGGGAATCGGGGCAACGGGTACCAAGGGTCGGAAGGTCGTCCTGACAGCCCAAGCCAGGGCTAAGAGGACCAGGTGGAAGAGGAGAAGCGAATGGTGGCGCGGTTTCCTGAGTCACAGATTGGAAGGCATGGAAGCCACCCCTGGAGTGCGGAAGCCAGGGAAGGACGGGAGGATAAACGGCAGCAGTCAGACGCTTGGTTGAGGATTAGGCCCGGGAGACGCAGCTAGCCAACGCGGGAGCGGGAGCCCTGTATCCGGCAGCAGCCACTGGCCTGAAAGAGCAGCCCCAGGCGAACCGTGGCGCCTGGGAGAAGGCCATCCAAGAGGCACATGGCCGCCGTAAGGAAACAACATGGCAGCCCCAGAGGCGCTGCATTACGAGGTCGTTGGCCGCGTCCCAACATCCCAGCTGTGGGAGGCCTCGGAGGTCCAGGTTAGAGTAATGGCGCAAAGCCACCACGCAATGCGGGTGGTAAACCCGCAGTCGTGTTAGGCTAGAGTGGGAGGAAGAAGTGCTCGAGGATGCATTGGCTAAGGTGGGCCCGGGGATGGCCAAGGAGTTGCATGAGTGCTGCAGTGATTCTGCAGGGCCGCAACACCAGCACGTTGGGGTGTACATCGGGCAAAAGCCAAACACGCTTCTCAAAGGACACTTCACGGGGCAAATTGCTGGATACCTGGTGCCGTGGAACTGGGTGGAGACGAGTGTGTTCAAGCTACAGCAGCAGGCCCGCGAATTCCGGGTGTTCGGGTTAGAGGCGGCCCTCCAGGCTGTGGATGTCAGCCTCCGATGTTCAAGGAGTTGCGGGAGTGAACCTGGCCGGCCATGGTACTGTTCACGCGCACGGCCGTGAAGTTACCAGAGGCGCATGGCAGCTGACTCACAGCCTACTAAGGAATTTAGGAGGAGGTTGACATCGAGCACAGGATGAGTGTGGGCAACAGAACGGCATGGGAAGGGCGGCAATCGGGGGTTCCCGGCTTCCACGACCAGAGGAGCGCAAGTCGGAGCCTTGTGGGTGCGGGCTACCAGGGCCTAGTAAACCCGGGACTGGGAACGCCTCACGGTGAGGGGGCCGCGATGGACCGCGGCTGAGCCCGCCTGCCAGCGTAGTGGTGGCTCTAAACCAGGAGCTGGGTCGGCGGGGATACCAGGAAGTGGGCGAAGAGCAGATTACGGAGAGCGTGTACAGGGGCCATGTGAATGGCACTGACTTGTGTACTAGCTACACGGGGAAGGGGCCCTGTGTTAAGGTGCAGGTCGGGCAGTGCTGCCGGTATAAACACCCAGCAACAGAGGCAGTACGGGTGGCCCAAGGGGCGGACGCCCTGGTTAGCCACAACGAGGCGCCGCGCAAGGAGACCCAAGCCCAGAGGCCCAGGCTTACTGTGTTAACTGCGATCAAGCGAGGGATAGAAGGGGGAAGGAGCCGGAGGATCTAGCACTGGCTACCACACGGACACCCGGGAGGAGGAGGGAGCTGATCTGGACGAACTGCTGTCGTGAAACGATGACCCTTGTGAAGGCAGCAGGTGGGTGAGTGAGGAGCAGAAAGGGGAGAACCCGGCGTCGCAGGATGAACACCAGCAAGGGGAGCGGGGACACCCAAGGAAGCGCGCAGCGAGGCATACAGCTGCTACAGGAGGCCGGACAGGGGCTACAGCCTCTAGGGCGACATGACGCAGTAGATCAGCAGAATGAGAAAGAGTTGTAGAAGAGATCGTCTTTTGCTTCCGGACCCGAGGACTACCAGCCAGGAAAGCTACTTACACATGTAGCAGTGTGGTGAGAGTTCTTCCAGGCAGCTAAAGAAGGCTGCCCGCTCACGGACAGAGACGTTGGCTAGGCCACCTGGAGGGAGGGCTCCAGCTGGAGTGGGTGTCGTGCGAACACCCAGGACAACAAATAGTGCCTGAGCGGGACCACAAGCTAGCTATTGTGCAGGAGTTGCTGCAGGTCGCGATGCTGGACTGCAACCCGGAAATAATAATGGCAGGTCGCCGGCCGCATGCAGTGCAGTTCCCACAGCGGCGTTGTTACAGCCGAGTTAAGCACGGCTCTCTGCGGTGGGATACTGCATGTTGATTAAGTGCTCGTCCTGTAGTGCGGTACGGCAAGTGCGGCGCAGGAATTCGCAGCCCAAAGCTGGGCAGAGGACAGGGACGGATACCCTAGTTCGTTACAAAGATTAGCTGGGAACAAGGCGCTAACTTCAGACAATGCAAGATCGCCCGATAACTGTGCAAGCAAGCGCAAGTCAGAACCCCGCCCACCCGCCCGTCGATGTGGTGGAGAGGGGAGGGGGACGAGCCACGAAGTGAGCACCAGGGCTAAGAGGGGCGGCACCAGCAGGAGGCGGAGGCTAGGATTGGGGACCGGAGCCGCGAGGGACACGAGTGGGCCGAGAGGCGTCGGTGTAGCACTCCAGGACTTGGGGGCTGCGGATCTGGGAGAAGGTGTGGAGCTCCTCGCGGGAGGCGCCAGCAGCCTGCGTGGCCTGGATAGTACCACGACGAAAACCATGAGGGGTTTGCCCGACGTAAACACCAGCCTCCTCCAGGTGTTTGCCCACTCGCATGGCCAAAGTGCTGCTGGAAAACGGGCGCTCCACGAAGCATTGGTGACCCCGGTCAGTGGGACGGAAGAGGTAGTCGGAGATTGCAGACCCTGGGGGGGTGTCGGGGGCATGGCACAGCTGCCAATAGAGGGCGAGGGTGCGGATGAAGCAATGTCGCGGAGAAGGGTCGGGGCGCAGTTCCAAAGGGGGAGCTCGGCGCCCCTTGGATGTTTTGGTCCCAAGTTGCTCAATCCATAAGGAGAGGGAGGGGTAGGCACCGAACGGGTCCGGTAGAGGCAAGGGAAACCCGCGGAAGGGACCACCACCCCCTGGGTCACGGAAGTCACGTAGCCGCAGTTTGCCTGTGTCATGGCCGCGGTAGCTGGTGTGCCACATAAATTGGCAGCACAACATATCGCGTAGCAACAGCAGGCGGGCTAGGGAGGTGGTGGAAGCCTGGAATCCGGACCAGAGGTGATCCATGAGGGTGATAAAATCGCGAGGGCTAAGGGGCACGGCGGCTTGCTCCTCGTAGCCACGGTCGGCGGCGAGGCGACTATAGCCAGTCTTGTAGGAGGACAAGGTGCTGGAGCAGCAGGGGTTGCCGATGCCGGTTCCACGGCCCAAGCGGTTAAACAGTCCGGAGAGCAGACCCAGATAATTGTTGACGGTGTTGGGACTCGGATCGTCCACCCGACGGTTGGGAAGCCAGTGGGCCTCCAAGTAGACGAGCAGGTTGTCATCAGTGCAGGACAGCAGGGTACGGCCATGGGGCAGGGTGGCCAGCCATGCAGAGAGGTCACGACCGGCAGCCTCCTGACAGGCAATGGTTTCACGAGCCAACGAGCTGTCGCAGACGGTGGCAGCCTTCTCGAGGGCGACAGTATAGATCTGGCGGCTGGAAGGTGGATCCAGTACAGCAGAGGGTACGGAAGTGGGGCAGACCCGCGCGGCCAAGATCTGGGGCAGAGTAGGCTCCAGCAGTGCCTGGATGGCAGAAGAAGATAGGTGAGGTGGGCGTGACGGGGAGAGGAGACAGGACCCAGGCGCGGGGGCAAGCCTACCGGGTGGGCAGCATCAGAGAGGCCGGGAGCTTGAGACAAGTCCAGAGTGGTGATCGGGCCCACGGAGGGGGCGAGGGGGTAGGGCCCCCGAGGGACAGGAAAGGACGGAAGTAAGGAAGATGACGAGTGTAACACCAGGCAAAGAGTACTCAGTTGGGAGATGCCAGGGGAGCTGATCCCTCTTACAACGAGCCAAGGAGAGGCGCCCCAGGTAGGGCCGGGGGAGGCAAGGAAAGCCTACCCGGCACTGGACAGGCAAGGTGTGGGTCCTGCAGTCAGGTAGGCAACCGTAAGAGAGGGCCGGGGGAAGTGGTGCGCAGGGAGATGGGGGCGTGCACCGGGTAGGCAGAGGACCCGGTCGAATGAGGAGGAGTCACATAGAGGAGGCGTAACAGCGGTGAAGGAGAACGCCGCTTCTGTGAAGAAGCAGAGGCGGGGTGGAGGCGAATGGGAATGGCAAAGTAGCGGTGAGCACAGTTACCTGAGGGACGAGCCAACTAGAGGCAATGCGGCGGAGATCTGTTAACGAGGTAGGAAATATGCGTGGTAGGTAGAAGGCGGTCGGCGTGAGGCTGGAGGCTTACGTTTTCTGTTGGCGGTGACTGCATTAGGTTATTTCGTACTCTCTACTCGATTGCCGTGCGAGCGGCCCACCCGCCCTCCCACTAACAGCCAAATGGCTGGTCGGAGTTATCTTTGAAGGGTTTGGGTACCGCGGGAGTGTGGTCGCAGACGCAATGGCCTTCCCCACAGAAAGTTAGTAGGGAGTACGGATCACGTGCTGACATTTAAGCAATTGTCCTATCAGTCAACAAACTGGTCCATGTTCGGATCAACCGCTACGCTTGCAATATACACCTACCTTTGAGGTTCAAGGACCATGAACCCGTTTTGCCAGCATAAATGTTGGACAGCCAGGCTGCTCTCCCCCGTTCAGCCTCCGGAAAGTGGCCTAGGCCGCTCAACAGGGCCTTAATTGGCTTAGTGCTGACGCAACAAACCAGGCCGCCACATCTGTTCAACACCGTTCATGGCTGTTGCTTATCGCTGAAATCGACAAGGCAAGGCACTTCAAATCCCTACGGCGCACACAAGCTGGCCACCGCGTCAACATAGCTCCGGAGCATCTGGGATCCCAGATGCAAAGCGCAAGCGTGTAAATCCCCTGCACCCCCGTCGTCGCCTCTTCGCCATCATCACTACCCACCATCACCGCCAATACGACCACCACTGTCGCCCGTCGCCACGCCTGACCCTTACCCGCACAAAAGACCAGTCTTCGCAAGCCGTATCAAAGCTCTAAGCGGTAAGGCCTTAAAGGTGGTTTTTATGCGCAGCCATCCCCAGCCGCCAGTGCAGCAGCCAGCTGCGCCTCCAGCGCCTCCAAGATTTCCGGCTGCTCCTCGTCCTGGAAGTGGCCTCGGTCCTCATAAGCCCTCAGCTCGGTCCCCAGGCAGGCCGCCACTTGCTGCTGCTCCCGCCAGGGGAGGAAAGGATCATCGCGGGAGGCGAACTGGCGTACGGCAGGAGAGGGAGGGAAGCGGGAATAATGAGCTGATGATAAATTTGATGAAGTGGTGAAGTGACGATGATGGTGATGGTGATGGTGATGGTGATGGTGATGGTGATGGTGATGGTGATGGTGATGGTGATGGTGATGGTGATGGTGATGGTGATGGTGATGGTGATGGTGATGGTGATGGTGATGGTGATGGTGATGGTGATGGTGATGATGCAAAAGGTCAATTGCAGGCTGCAAAGTGGAGGAAGGAGGAGGAGGTGGGGACAAAACTATTTCAGGCATAAAAATGCACACACTGCGGTGGAAAGCAGTGCCGTACAGGGTTACGCCATCCAATGCGGTGCAGGGTGCGGGGGGGATCTGCAAGAGGCAACACGGAACTCTGAGAGTAATTGCGGGGTTGTGCTCTTTAACCCAGATGCCGTGGAAGGTGCAGTTAACGACGTGCCATGTGCGCCTGTACATGTACGTGTATACTTATATACAGGATGAATGGTTGATTTGTACGGCATACATAAACATTATTTGATGAAGTACAGTAGCCAAGGCGGCGTATTTAGCATACGTACTGAAAAGTGTCGTACAATGCACCATAAAATTGATCGCTTGGGAACATGTGCATTGCATGTGCCATTGTGAGGGCAGGGCCGCATCTTGGGCAGCAGTGAGATTGAAAGCGCGGCCGCATGCAACGTGGCATTGACTCGGGTTAGGCAGGTCGTGGCAGGTTGAAGCGGCAGCTAGCGCGGTCATACCTGGGTGATGAACGACGCATTCGCCTTGATCTTCTCCCATTCCCATGGCCTGAAATAAGGAGCACAAATTTGGTTCTTTTTGTCTTTTCCATAGCGGCAACGAGCATTAGGATTTCCTTTGCCCTATCGCTGAGGCCGTCCTTTTCCAAGTGTCATCTTTGCACCTGTTGAAGTAACCTGAAGCGGCCTCGTTTGCGTCGCCCAAATCGCTGACGTAGGCGGCAACAAGCACCAGGCCAAGCACTTTTGACGTCTCCGCAAAGCGCATGCCGGCAGCCGCTCCGCTGCTATGACCCACGATAATGCTGTTCTCTCCGCAGTTCAGATGGTTAGCCATGAACGGCAGCCACACAGTTTCCCGTGCGCGCACAGGGTCCGGCATGTTCCGAAGCATGACGCGAACTTGCGTTTCCGGCCAACGGCTCTGCAGCTGCGCTTTCAGCCATCCGTACCAGTTACAATTCTCAACATCTCCAGCGCCGTTGCCTACGGTAGCGAAATAACGGACTGCCGGTCGGTGCGGGAGCGTGAGATGGCATGGATGCGTGTCCTGTGGTAGCCCCAACTAGGACCGTGGACGAGCCGGTCAATGCATTTGAGAAACAGGAAGACTATCGCCCTCGCTGATCTTCAGGAAAAGGCCCGATTGTTCAACCTTCCGGGGTGCACATTCAATGCGTCCTGATTACATGCCTGGTATGGCGTCAAGCGTGTAAACCCAACCACATACCGGGAACAATGGCAACCGTGATCGGTGGAACCATGAGGGGAGGTGTAGCTGGGCGGAAGGAGGAGGAAATAGTCGGGAAAGCGCGCCTTGGACCAAGCCCGCTGCGTGCGCCTCCGCGATGGGCCTTGTGCCGGGGTGGGCCTTTCCCGCGCTTTCCTTGGACTTCCTTGGAAAGCTATGGCTGAGCTCCACCACGCTTCGCAACTCCAGTCCATCCATGCCAACTGCTCCAGCACTTCCCTCCTTTGCCTTCTGCTCCGTCTCACGCACATCTCATGCATGTCCTACTCTCCAGTTCGACTGGCAATGGGCTGGGTTCGCGCACTACCAGGAGGCTGTAGATGCTCAGCCGTTCTTGTTGAGATGGAGGCGGCGCGCAACGCACCGCGTATGGATTTGTATTGACGCCTTAGCAGATCTATACACCAGATTCATACACACTCCAACGCCGCCGGCCGCTGCACCCGGCCCTCGCAGCTATCTATAAGAATGAGCGTATAGTCCGAACACGACGCCGTTCCTCCACTTGCGTACGGCCGTACTTGCCGTACGGCCTACCCTGTGGGGAGTACTGCGGGGGAACTGGCTGCACCGGGCGGAGCCCTTTTCGGCTTCGAAGAAGCTGACGACCCTAATCGCCCATCGACTAAGTACCCGTGGCCGCTGCAATGTTCCTCCCGTTATGTAAAATTATGAGTACCCGGTCTTTGCTTACTTTTCAGGTGACGGCTGTCAAGACCCACCAAAAAAACGAAAAAAGAATGACGTTGATGATGCAGCTGCAGCGGCTAAGGCATATCTACATCCGCTACTGTCCCAAGGCAGGCAGCAGAGCCAGGCAACACGGACTGCGGTGAAATTTGGGGGTGGGTAAGGGTGAGGTCTACAGCTGCAGCTGGCGAAAGATGACGCGCGTGCAGCATGCCATGCGAGTGATGATGATGATGTGATGATGACAACGACGACAACGACGAGGAGGAGGACAATGCAGGACTCTCCGAAACCAAAAACTCCACCCTGCATCAAGGCGGCCGCCGCTGCCACTGCTGGTGCTGCGGTGGTGATGTCTGCAGCTCTGTTCCCCTCCATTTCACTTCACTTTAATGTCCAACACCAATAGTGGCATAGTATATCATTTCGCATGCAGAACACACGGCGGCGCTAGCGGCCAAAAAGCACAGCTCAACATGCGCCACAGCTGCAACCATCCATCCATCCATCTTCCTATTCAACTATTCATCTACCCATTTTACCCATCTGTCCAGCGCACAAGTACTGCGCCGCCCAATGTGGCCAAGAAAGGAGAAAAAAGGACAGAACAGGACAGAACAGGGCGTTGTTCAAAAAGTTCGCCATCAGCTCAGTTTACGGGCACGTGTGGAATGGGACCATCCATGCAGTACGTGGAGTACGGTACAACCCTGCGGCGCATCTTCCATCCCCTCCCCTCGCTCCTGCAACACCTAAGCTTCCTGGGTTAACCCTTCATACACGCATTCATGAATGCATACAGAGACACACGTGCAAAACTCTTATGGTATGTTTCACGTCCGCAGTTCCCCCCTCCTCCACTTTCCTCCTGCTCCCCCTCCTCCTCCTAACTGCGCCATTTCAGTTCCCCCTATAAAGCCCATCAAAAACAACCGAGCCCAACAGAGATTTTTGGCTTACCTAGACACAGACATAGTCCGGAGCGACGTGTGCGGGTGTGTCCAGCCCTGCTTGCCTCGATGCATCCAATCGCAAGTGACCCTTACTCCCACTCACCATCTCCTACATCCATGTGACCAGCCGGCTGACTTCCCAACGGTCTATCCTCCTCGCTGCTTGTAACCGATTCGTCCAATCGCCACCTAAACTTAATTTGTCGTCCCGCCCCCCAACCCCTATCACGATTCGTCCAACCGTCAACGATTCGTCGTCGTAGTTTTTTTATTATTTTGAAAGGTCTAACCGTGTATCGAAAAAGCAACAACAGAGCGTCCTAGGTTCCTGTCTCTCTCTATATATATAAATACTATCTCTGTTCTAAAGAACGTCATAGCTGTCATACAGTACGGGTGTATCAGCGCCGCATTCTACAGTCCAACATTTTCCGTACATCCCCCAACCGTATTCGCTCCACAACATTATAACAGTGGCTAGGACTTGCTTGCTTTCGAAAAGGGTCGAAATGGCAGTGGCGATGATGGCGATCATGATGGTAGTAGGAGGCGTCGGCCAAAGCGGCAGCGGTGTGACGAGGTGTGGTTCTTGTTGCCGCCACGGCCCACACGGCACAACAACAAGCACTCTGCTTTTGCTGCTGCCGCCTCTGCCGCCGCTGGTTCGGCGCCACAGAGTCAGTCATGTGCAGCGCGCTGTGTGAGCTGGGACCCGGTGCTAGTGAGGGTTCATTTTGGGGGGGCTCCGGCGGCAGCTGCATTGCAGCCATTCCATACCATAACCACCGCCGAAAACTCCCATGGCAACAACCACAACCATCACATCGACACCACGGCAAATCCACTACCCTTCTCTACCCTTCACGCACACACCTCATCACATACACAACACACACAACACACACAACACACACAGCTCGACAGCAACGCACTCTTCATGTCGTTTACGTACTCATCCCTAAGGGGCTCACTCCCCTGCCGCAATGCTCTGCGCCAACAGCTGCCAGCAGTACTCCCGGTCGCGGGAATCCGCCAGGAGGTGTACGTCAGCACCCGCCGCCAGCAGCGCCCGTACAACACTTGCACGGCGCTCCGGCGACGCTTCCGCCTTGGCGGCGCCGCCAGGGTGCAACGCCGCCCACAGCGGCGTGCGCTGGGCCTTGTCCGTACGATCCACCGGTGCGGCGGCGGCCAGCAGCAGCCGGACCACCTCCAGCTGGCTGCGCGCCGCGGCCACGTAGAGGGGCGTGAAGCCGTCCTGTGTGCGCCCATACACCCCCACATACACACATACATACATGCACACACAGGAGAGGAATGAGGAGTGGGTGAGCGGGCGAGGGTGGGGGAGAGATTTTGTATGCACGTAAAAATTGAACAGGTCATTATGATGCACAATACCATGTTAAACGGCAGAACGAACGAATGGCCGGACGACACGTGCGAGAAAAGGCTGAAGAGGCAATAGGTATCGCACAAGCAACGGTACTGCAAACATAAGAACAAAAAAGCGAGGAGACGCAGCACCTTAAGATGTATTGTCAATACCTATCTACCCACCCACCCACCCACCCACCCATGGGAACCTCCTCAGCCCTGCGCCATCAGCTGCTGGCGCGGGATGACGTCATCCACCCCGTCGTCCCATCGCCCCCAAAAAGCCCATCTTCCCATCCCCTCCACACCTCCCTTACGGGCGCAGCCCCCCCAACCCCAGTGGTTCATCTTAACCCCCCCCCCACACACACACAAACATGCACACCTTGTCTGCCAGCTCCACACTGGCCCCGGCCCCCAGCAGTGCCGCCACCACCGGCACGTGGCCCTGAGCAGCAGCCACCCGCAAAGGGGTGACGCCGGACTGCATGGTTTGGCGGGGCGGGGTGGAGGGGAGGAGGTTGTGTGGGGGGTGAATCAGGGGTGTGAGGGAATAGCAGGAGAGGAGAGGAGAAGGAAAATGTTTTGCATGCACTGTAATTGAAAGCGGCGAGAAGAGAGGGAGGAGTTCTGGTTGCGGACTACTGGTTGCGAAATAACGATGCGCCACGACGCCCCAAGGAAAAGGAAAAGTTGTTCTCGCGATCAAGATGTTTTATTGCATCATTGGTGGGATGGGGGGAAGGGGAGAAGACGAGAACCACAGAGCACAGAAAAGTGTTGCTAACATCCCAGAGGTAGAAAGATACTCCAGCAATAGACAAATGCGGGGATGGAGATGTTGCGGGTTTGGGGATGCAGGCTGAGAAGTTGCGGTGGAGGAGGTTAGTCAATTTGCTGCTCGGTGCGAGATAGCGGGCTCTAAGGACATGGGGGGCCGTGTCCCCCTCATAAGCCCCTCCCTCCCC